GCACAGTCTCAAAAGAAATTTCTATATTATATAGTTAGGTTCTGATCTAATCTGTATATACAGTGCTAGTACATAACAGTAATACTTTTTTGTCTTTGTTGATATGATACCTGTTTTCTGAGGAAGTGATCTGGACATTTTCAAAAGGAGTTTTGGATATTTTTTTTAAAATATTTAATTATAACTTGTACTTTTTAAAAATTTCAGATTCTTGTTACTATATAATGTTGAAATTTATATATATAAAATAAATTTTACGAATTTTTACAGTCCTGTTCATAGAGGTAATTTGTCTCCAATTAACTTTCAACCAAAACTTGCTAACCCAAAACTTTAACATTCTATTTATTTTTTTTCTGTTTATTTTAGTATGAGAATATATTATAAATATTTTACAATATATATTCTAAAATATGTACTCAAACATAATTAAAGCTACAAGTAGTTGGCGTGTTAATATTATTCGGGGGCGTGTGTATTTATTTATGAAATATTTTTACAAGATAAAAAATGAAAATCTAACTTAAAAAACCGACACAAATTCCGATGCAATTAAACTATAAAAAGTTGTTTGTTGACATGAGCGTAGGTAAGTGCAATTAAATTGCACTAAAGAGTTGCAAATAACTCTTGCTTCCCCGCCTCCATTTTCCTAGAGCTTGTCTCTCTAACATGCATTATTAATGTTTCGTACCGCTCACATGCCGCCGCATGATTGCAAGGTTTGCGCGCAATTGAAGCCAATTTCTTTTGCATTGTTGCAGTCTTCGTGTGCAAAATCCGTTCAATGTCATTGTTAAAATCATTATTTTCAATAAAAGTTTTAATATGTTTTGCTCAGATTGTTTATTATGTAAATAAATTAGCATAATTCATTATTCAAACATTAATCTTAGCATAGCTTCATAACGATTATGACTTACCAAGTAAAACTGCGGAGGTTTGCATATGTTTTACAGATACAAGTTGACACGATAACAGATTTGTCTCAGTTCACAATTTATGTAGATTTTCAGATTTTCATTATTACAACTGTTTCTGTAAAATGTTTCATAAGCGTTTTTTATTTTATCGGAGTTGTAGTTCAAGGATCATATATACATATACATATATGCATTATATTGATTTGCAATTTTTCTTTAATTATTCCATGGCTCATTAACTGCTTAATAAGTGTGACATGACTGCAGTCATGATCAAGAATAGTATTCTTTGGTATAACAAAATGTTCTATGGTTTACTGACTAACTATTGTTCCCTGTATGGCATTTGTTAAGTTAATAGTTAAGAACTTAAAGCTAATGTTAAAGGTGAAGTGGGAGAAGAAACACATTCTCCTCCATTAGCTAAGCAAGCTGTATTGATTCCATATTCCTCATAATAGTGAGTAGAAGAATAGTTCCATTAGAAACAACTGAATACATTGATAAAATCAATTATCTGAACAATACTAATGTTGTGAATATCGATGAGTGTGTTAAAGAATGGGTCGACTAATAACTTACGCCTGGTTCTAAAACCTAATGCTATAGTGTTTTTAAAAATAATAATATTGACATCGTTATCAATAATATATCTATCCAGTAATTTTTGGTAGTAAAGATTTGAATCAGGCAGTTGGACAGGCAGTAGCTCATAATGAATGATGTCTCTCCATAATGAAATAACCTTCTCTCTTAGAGGCTAACAGTAACTATTCAAATTATAAAATAGAGAATTACAAGTTATACGTGTACATTTTTAAACAAAAATGTTGTTTACTAAAAATCATTCTTAATCAAGTATATATTATCCATTTACAATTGGGTGGTATAAAAAGTATCAGCCGTTTATTGTTACATTTTGGAACAAAAATTATCTATAAAAAAAAAATTATATAAAAATTAGTTTCTACCAATTATAGTCACTTCCATAACTCGAATTTCTATAACTCAAATTTTGTGTAACTCGAACCAAATAGAATGCAATAAGGTCTAGAGAGCAAATTATATATAATTACAAAAGAATTCCTTAACTTAAAGTCTCCCTAAGTCGAACCTTTTCTTTGGACAATGGTATTTTGACTTATTGAAGTTTGACTGTATATAATAATATTGATCATTATTATATATTAATCTCATGCTATTGTTAGAATAGCTTCATAATTCCATATAGTGTAGAATTTTTGAAGTTTATTGGCGAAAACTTGGTCAAGTAGCCATTGTTAGCCGTCAATCCAGGCTTTAAAGTTGGCTTCAAATAATGTTGCCTAAATTGTATATTTGATATAATCAGATTTGTGTTGCCATATAGATGTCAGATGTGTATCAACACCATCTAGTGACAAAGAACCACAGACACCATTATATCGCAATTATTTATAATTGTGGTAAAAAATAGGAACAGTTTTGTGATCTAGTAGTTAAAGGATTAATATGGTCTTGTAAGAAAAAAAGGCAATTGCAGAAGGGAAGAGCGAAAGAGTGGCAACAACTATAATAATAAAAGATGAGGTAACTTTGGTTTTGAATTATGGTGTACCCGACTTATCTTCTTAGGAGTAAGTGTATAGTCGTAAAATCAACTTTTTGACTATAGGAATATTTTGAAACCCGCTATTGATTTTTTCATTTGTGATATATTATGGTAATTTTACGATTACGCTTTATATATTTGAGTGGGCATAACAATATCAAAAATCTAGCATTAGTGTCTTTGTCGCCCGACTTTTTCAAAGCACATGTAGACGCAGAAGTGGAAATCATGGTCCACAAGATTTTATTACTATTATATAATTTTTTTGATATTAAAATCCATTACTACGTGATCAACGATTCATCTGTAAGTTACAAAATTTATTTATATTGAAATGTATCAAATAATAATAAAAGTGTTTAATTTATTTCACTATAATGCTTGTTTGTAGCACAAAAAATAACTATTATGAACTAATCTTAACGAAAGCTGTTCAGTTTTATGCATAACCATGTAGACCGAATATATAGCTAACTAACGATTTGGAAAGATATATAAAAACTGAAAAAAAAATTATCTATTCAGCATGATATAGTTCGGCACAAAGCTATGGAGCACTGCCAATATTGTTAAGTGTTTAAATTGAAACTTTTACAGCATTACTATTTTAGAGGCTCTTTAAAATTTATATGGGATATATTTACCCTAACTTTACATGATTTGGTACTGCAAAATTTTATTCTCTTTACTTTACTCAAAATCTTATATTCTTTGATTAGTTATTTTGTTGGAATGCATATAGGTTAGGTTAGGTTGGAGTCACGGCCCAACCAAAGTGCCCAAAGCCCAAATAATGATCCGTTGTGATACCACGGATTAGCGCTGTTAATACACAGACTAAAGATCAACGTACGAATAATACCCAAACTCTATAACTTGACTGTCTGTAATCTTATTTGACAAGTCTATAAACTTGGTGGTTTTTAATTTTAAGACGATTAAGAAGCTGCTTCCAATGATGAACGCTGACACAGGAGTTGAAGTATAGTTTCCTTCTTATCTGTAGAGCCACAACCATGTCAAAGGTCATTTTAGGATACATATAGCCTCACAGTATGTTTTCCGCAGTGATTCTTGAGCACCGATACCGTAGTATTGAGCATGTTACACTTTAGTTGGAACAATTTGCTGGTACGTTTCTTGTTCAGATCAGATCGTACTTGAATTCTAACAGAAGGGTTCATCTGTTCAATTTTGTTTACTTATGCTCAGATATTTATGTTTGATTGTTAATTTGGTTGTTGCAAACGGGATACCAATATCTGAAAACTGAATGTCAGTGGTCATTGGCAAATCCTGATACAGTGTGATCGCGTGTCTTATGCGGAAGAGAGTATTGAGTCTGATTCGCACTAATATGGATAATAATAATAAGAGCTTACTGCTCTTTTTATGGTGCTCTAAGATTTAACTAGAACATAAAGAGTAATTCAGAGGATATACAATCTATGTTTCAAAAATTATAAATATTTATTTTAAATTTTTTTAAATATTTTATATTCAATATTTTATAAAAATAAATATTTAAAAATATTATTATTAAGGAAATTTTTACAGTCTGTAGTTATTATTTATTTATTATATTTTTTTATTGTAGTAAAATTAATGTTTGCTCTCTCTTGTTATTAAATAATAAGTTAAATAATTAATGTGTGATCTATAAGTATATATAAAAAGGAAAAAAAATTATCTTTGTAATTTTAAAATTAGTGGAATATAGTTCAAGCATCACTTAAGCAATAAAATTCGCTAATATAATTTTATTTTATTGTTTGTGAAATTGTGAGCTGTGAGCTCTCAAAGCAAATTACAAAAGCCCAAACGAAAATCAAATAAAGAATTAAATTAAATTTTTTCTTCAAAACAATTTAAGCAACAAATTTAAAAAAGTGCGCGCGCAGCCGAATGCATTGGACTATGTACGTATATGCCTCCCGACTGTGGTGTGTATGTACATTTTTACAACATATATATTTTAACATTGCAATTTGCAAATTATAAATACAAATATGCACACAAGAAAGTATATGTGTGACATTACTAACAACAACAACATATATACACACACGTACATACATTTAACTATACTATAAATACGATACATGCATTAAAACAAAAACAAAAACAAAAAGGAAAAGAAAAACGAAAAACGAAAAAGGAAAAGCAAAATATAAACTACAAAAAAAATAATACGAATGAGTATAAAACGCGTCCAGATTCACGTTATAGTAACCCCCAATCTTCCCCAACTGTGTGGTGCTATCTTCTCGGTTTATCGTACATACTCCATGGTTGCATTTGATTGCGTTTGTGTACGAGTATTTTGCGATGAAATTTTTCGAATTCCATTCACATTCCAGCATGCAATTCGAGTAGATGTTGTTATTGCTTTTGTTATTGGTATTGGTGCTTGCTACAAATGCTCTTGCTGTTGCTTTGCCTTTGCCTTTGCCGTTGCTGTTGCTGTTGTTATTACTATGACTTTTCTACGTTGTGTTTTTTCGTGTGTTTTGTTGTGTTTGTTGATGATCGTCAAGGCTGTCAGGGGTAGGGCATTCCACAATAAACATAACAGCAACAACAATAACGACTACATAAGAAAAAAAAAAATGAAAAAAAAAAAACAAAATAACAAGAAGTATTAACAACAACAAAAAGCATGAAGCGAATGAACGATAAAAAGCAATAATCTGCTGCCGTTTCTTACGTCGCATTATGTTGCGTCGCTGCTGCTGCTGCTGCAGTTACTGCAGCTGCTGTTTTTAAAGCTCCAAAGTGGACAGACAGACCAACTGAATTACAGAGTTTATAGTACAAACAGAGCAAACAACTTGGGCACGTCTCTAGTTTTACTTGTTGTGTTGTTGTTCGGTCATATAGAGTATAGCTAAAGAGTAGAGTAGTAGTTATGCTTGTGTGGTGTGCTGTGGTGTAGTGTGGTGATGTGATGTTATGCTATGCTTTGCTTTGCTTTGCTTTACTTTGCAGAGTTAAAGTTTGGTGGACATTGCGTCTTTTTAGCGTTGTTTGTTGTAATTGATGTGTGAGTTTTACATTGTTGCCACACAATGCAAAATTCCATGATTTCTTAAACTATTTTATAAAAATAAACACAATATTATATTATGCCTCTCACTACTCTTCTTATTCTTCTTCACTGCTGCACTTACACTTGGTAAGCAGTAGTTTAAATGGTATGCTTTCCAACCATATTTGTTGTCTACTGCAGACATGTGCATATAATTTATGCAATGAAATAAAATACTTGCATTTAATTCATAAAAAATGATATTATTAATTAGCAATTTGCACTTATTCACACGATGAATTAAATCAAGTTGGCAACAATGTATGTTGCTGGCTATTCAAGTTGCGCCAAATGTGGCTAACAACATATTAAATAGGAGTAAAGTTGTTAAGGTGGATGCATACGTACTTAAATAGTTTTGTACATGGTGTTTAAATGTTAAAATATATATAAATTTAAAAATAAAGTTTTTATGAAATTTTAATATAGTACCAAACTAATCAAAAATTGAACAATAAATTTATGATGTTTCATAAATATCATAATATATCATAATAATCATAATATTATAATAAATCATAATATCATAATAAATAAATTTTTACATATTAAGGCCGTGTGCGAGTTCGAGTAAATAGAAGTAAATTAAATTGAAATTTCCTAGGGATTTTTTGCACTGCAGTTATGTAAATATTTATTTATTTATTTATTTATAGCACTTATTTATTATTTTTGGTTGAAAGTTTTCAAATTAATTTATTAAACATCTTATAAAATGTTCACAATGGAAACACCTAATTTACCTAATTTTCATCTAATTTACCCTACTCAAAATTCTGGTAAATATCAATATTCGCTGCCATACCGACATAATTTACTATTTCCCTCAATTTACCATCAATTTATTTGAACTTATTTGAACACGGCATAAATAACAATTTTTACATACATAGTGTAGACAAAAAAAAATTAATTAATTTTGCGAAAATGATTTTTAATTCTTTTTTTCCCTTTTTTCTCTTCTTTTCTTAATTTTCTTCTTTTTTTAATTTTTTCTTAATTTTCTTTTTTTAATTTTTTCTTAATTTTCTTCTTTTCTTGATTTTTTTCTTTTCTTTATTCTCTTCTGTTCTTTATTCTCTTTTTTTATTCTCTTTTTTTTATTCTCTTTTCTTTATTCTCTTCTTTTCTTTATATTCTTCTTTTCTTTATTCTCTTTTTTTATTCTCTTTTCTTTATTCTCTTCTTTTCTTTATCCTCTTCTTTTCTTTATTCTCTTCTTTTCTTTATACTCTTTTTTTATTCTCCTTTCTTTATTCTCTTCTTTTCTGTATTCTCTTCTTTTCTTAATTTTCTTCCTTACTTTATTTTCTTCTTTTCTTAATTTTCTTCCTTTACTTATTTTCTTCTTTTCTTAATTCTCTTTTTCTCTTTATTCTCTTCGTTTATTCTCTTCGAAGAGAGTAACTCTTCTTTTCTTAATTTTCTTCCTCTCTTTTTTTCTTAATTCGTTTTTTCTTTTTATTCTCTTAATTTATTTACTCTGTACTCCTGTTCAGGATCATGTTATGTAGAGTGTCATGCGCTCGTCATAAGCAAAATTGTTGTTTTCAATGCAAATTATAAAATTGCGAGTGGGAGAAAAAACAATATGTCGGTTCAAATTTAGTCATGAGAGCCGAGGCTATATGCCCCTCGACAAAGCAATGTTGTTCAGTAATAAATGTCAACATACTATTAAGTGTCGTTTTGTAAGCAAATTATTACAAATTCTGTAACATTGTGCATAACATGCATTTTCGTCATTACTCAAAATAGTCAATGTTGACGAACCCATGACACTGCATAACATGACCCCTATTCTATACGTCTCTTTATTTTTTATCTTTTATCTATTCTTTTTTCCTCTTTATCTTTATTTCAACAAACTCTCTTAAAACTGTTCTCTTCCAAAATATTACATCTTGGGTCCACATTCCTTTCGTATTATATAAACTGCATTGTTGTTGTAGTATATCCTGAGTATATCCTAAGATAAGGAGGCGACCTTTAAGAAATCTAATAAGTTAAAAATAAGTTTTATTTTATTTAAAAGAACATTTTTATAAATTTATGTGTTAAATAAACGACCTAAGCCCAGTAAAAAATATGAAAACTAAATAAGTTTAAAACACAATCTAAAAATTGGATAAAATGGTTGAAAATTAACTTTGGTCTAGTAAACTTATCTTAATTAGATTTGATTTCTTATTCTTTTAATTCGGTTTCTTACATTAATTGTAATTCGGTTTTATTTTTCTCAGGCCTTTCAAGTTCATAACAGTTATACGCATCAGCAAATGGCTTATAAATCCGTTTTTGTTGCAATGTGAATCCTAGAAAATAAATTACTATCTATCTGGTATCTAGATATCTATGGTATCTAGTATTTGATAATGTTTTATTCTAAGTTGAACAGTAGACGTAGAATATAATTAAGTAAAAATATTGTTCCTTCAATCAAAAATATCTAGTTTATATAGTGAATCGTATAATAACTTGATCTTCATATCACGTTGCATATAGTCCATAATATTGAATAATAACAAGAAAAATAAGAATTCATAATAAAAATTATTAATTTAATATAATAATTTTAAATTTCTTAATATCAAACATTTTTGAAACACCATGTATCTCAACCATTGCTTCGTTGATCGTTCGATCAACTATTTCTGGAAACCCTTTCCCCCACAGCTTCTCCGCTCATACAAGCACTCACTCAATGCAATATTACAAGTATTGCAATTGATGTTGTACGTAGATTGTTGCGCTAAGTTGTCGTAGCTGCAATTGCAAATAGTTGTACCCCGTCTTACTAGCTAAGTTTTAGGCTGGTCCGGACAAAAAAAGGGAAAATAAATTTTCAACAAAGTGTAAAAAGATGAAAAAAAAAAAGACACATATAGTAAATACCAAAATGCTTAGCTTTGTAATATTGTAATAATCAGAGGCCAATACTATTTTTATCTTGCCATGCCTTAACGTTGCATTACATGGCGTTGCATTCATAGTTGCAAGTTGTAAGTTGCTGCGTTTGCTTGCTTACACTGTTATTAGCGTTTCACGTCGCAGTTGTTGTGATTTCATTGCAACTTTTGTCACTGTTATCAGTGCTGCATACAGCGAGCCAGCTTGTTTGATAAATGCAATTTCAGATAGCAAACCAATTGCAATGTCCATATTTCAACCTCAATTGCATGCAGCCTCAACATACTATATATGCGAAAATTTTTTTTATTTTATCTTTTTAAATTTTACTTTTTTTTATTTTAATAATAGTTTTTATTAAATGACTTTACAATTTAAATTTCCATTTATTAGATATTCATTCATATCTATATTATGTGAGTTCTGAGTTCATAGTTCAACAGTTTATCAAAAACACGTTGATTTTTGTTATATTAGTTTAAAAAAAAAGAAGGAAAATAAAAATATAATAATTCTTTATTCATTTTTTATGTTTTTTATTAAAATAAATATATAATGAAATTTTTCTAGAGTTTATTTTATTAATTTATCACTATTACAGATATGCTTTTATAACACATTGATCCTCATACAGAGTACATAAAATAGATAGATAGATTAATTAGATTATTTGACACAATAATTATTAAGTTGTCTGTCTTTTATGAAATTTTTTTATAAATGTTGTTTATTTTTTACCGTTAATTTTTTGTATTTTATTTTAAAATTCATAAAAATATATGCCATTTGTTTTAATCTAATTAAATTATATATTTAAGTTAGCTTAGTGATATCTATAAAAAATGTAGTATCTTTATATCCTCAGTAATGTTCACTGTTGAAAAGATACAAATGATACGAAAAGTTATACAATGTTCTATAACCATATTTCTATTTTTCATAATTTGAAGAATATCGTAAATGATACGATTATTATATTTTAGAAAAATCTACCAAATAAAAAAAAAACTCTAATGAAACAAAAAATCCCCAATGTCTTAATATCTTAAGTATGATTCAATCAAATAGGAAATAGTCCTTTCAGAATATCTCTTAATTTGATGCTTAAGGCGGCCTTGTACTTGAATGGACTCGGAAATTACGACTGAACCATATATTTCTAAAAAATTTTTTAAAATACTTTATGATTTCTTTGTTCAATGGCTTACCTCAATAGCTGATGAATATTTTTAAATACAGACTTTTTCTTCTATCATCCACATCTAAAATAAGCTATCTACGGATCTTTTCAAAAAAATTTTAGAAATTTATTCATTAGCACTCATACGCACTGGTGTATTATATGTGCGCATTATAAACTTATGTGGTTTTGAGTTTTACGAGGTTATAAAGATCTATAAATCTTATCGTAGACTGCTGGTTGATAAAAATTAATATAATTCACATGGTTTGACAAATATTTTTACAATGTTAATTTTTTTTGTATTGTAATTTCATCAACTTTTTAAAAATTAGAACATAGTAAATTTTTGAGTATTCGGAAACCTATTATATGGAAGCACTATTCAATTATTTATACATTTTATTTGATT